TAGTCGGGAGTTTCACAAAAGCCGAGAGACCGACTGTAGTCCAAGAAGCCGCCGATTTCAGGAAAGCCAGCGCGTACGAGCACCAAGCCTTTGCATGCCTCTTTGGCGGCATGTATGCGTATCATTGCATGCGTTTCGCCCTCATACCAGTACGCCTTTGACTCGGTGTGCTCCGCTCGCCAGGGCAAGTCTCCACGAAGCAGGAAAAGGCCGACGTAAGCAAGAGACTCAAGGTCATCTCGCCGAGAGAGGTCTACAGAAGAAAGGTTGATCAGCCTCGAATTGAGTTATCTCCGCGTTACGTTGCTCACCGACTCCCCGGTGAGAGTTCAGGCTGGCCCAATGCAATGTGCCGACAATGATCCTATCCTCCTTGATAGGGTCGTATTGAGTGGGCGAGCCACTGCGCTGGAACGGCTTAGCGATGCCAAAGTCTATCAGTTTCAGGCGTGATGGATCGTCCAAGCAAGCGAGGATGTTCGCAGGCTTGACATCACGATGCACGATTCCGAACGAATGCAAGTGTTCGAGTGCTGATAGCTAGGCAATGATGAGCCTGCTGCAGGCGCTCGCTGAGAATCAAGAGGCTTACCATCTGGTCCATGACTCGATAATAGGTTTTCGCTGGAGTTCCGTACGGTGCTTTATGTAATTCCCGCATACTGGGTCCGAGAAGCTCTATACCTATATATTCGAAGTGAGCCTCACGTCCGTAGCCGTATATCGCCGGGATCGCGGGATGCCCTTGAAGGAGTTGCAAGATTCGGCTTTCGTGTTGCAGTATGGTCCTTTGTACGCGCAAGGAGGCACGGGACTTCTTCAGTGCGACAGATCTCCCGCTGCTTGAGTCTACGACTCGATATACGCGACTCTATGCCCATGCGATGTACGATACGTTGAGTGAGAGCAGCGTGTACGGTGAGCAAGTTTAGGCCCAACTCACGTAAGCTCCCTCCCCAATGGGATCCTCCCACGGCAACCGATATATGAGAGTACCGGATGACCGTGACATTTTTGTTCCAGATGTTTGTTGTGCAACAAGGATTGGTATTGATTTGGGTGCTGATGTCGACGGAGAGAGAGACGAATGGGGCGATGCTGGACTGCTATGTGCTGACGCATCTTTCGGTATCTGGTTCTTCGTGCGGATTATCATTGTGCGGTGTATCACTTCTTACTCGATGTCGTCACAGTATCTGTTCGCAAGGATAATCGCTGTATAATCAGACCATGTACTTCTTGAAGAATTTCCGCAAGCCCATAACGTGACAAGAAACGAGCATCTCATTACCCGTCCCAGAGTACTCTACAATAGTGGACAAAGAGCCAAGTGCGAACAGACATGATACAGATCGGAAAATCACTACAGCTTACAGCAAGCATCGGACGCATAGCAAGACAACATTCGAGGGTATCGATACAGTGGTGATGATGTAGACGGATTTTGCATGGGATGGTAAGATCGTCAAAGAAGGGGTGTTGTCGCATTCATGTCTTGACCTTGCGCAGCAGCTTCCACATCGAAGGCTTACGCGATACTACACGAGCTGCAGTCACGGCGTCGGTCTGCTGCGCGGCGGCGACAGGAAGAGGGGCGGTCATGGGCACGGACTCGGGTTCGAACGAGTCCTCCAAGAACCCTTTGCGCGCGTCGGCGGTCGGCTGGCCCTGGCCGTTGACTGCTCGCTTGACGGCGGGGCTAGGCGGCGAGAGTTTGAGCGGCGTCGGGCGCCTGCGCACGCGCCGCGAAAACGCGTGCGGATACCGCGGCGAGGAGGACTTGGGCGACCGAGGGGCCTTGGGCGACCGTGGCGACGAGGGTAGGGCGACGAACGCGTCGTGTAGGAGCGCCGGGCGGCGGAGGTGCTCCGCGGCGCGACGGGGCCGAGCGGGTATCGCGAGGACGGATTTGTTCCCACCGGACTGCGAGGTGACGACCGAGTCGAAGGGCGCAAAGCCGAAGAGCGCAAGATCGTCCGTGGCGGGAAGGACAAGGCACCGAGGGTCGAGAGACGATGCGGTCGTGGCGGATACGACGCCTGTGCTGGGGCTGGTCGCGCCGGCCCCGGCAAAGAAGAACTCAACCCACTGCGCGCCGGGGCTCGTGTCCTTGTCCTTGTCCGCGAGGAGATGTACAAATTCCTCCCGCTCCTCCGCGTCCTCCCACCATACCCCGTTTTCGTCCTTCGTCGCGACCGCGACGCCCTCGGCCGTGCCGTTCGCGACGGCTTTATCGCGCATGACACGCTGCACGTTCGTGCGTGTCGACCCGCCGTCAAGTAGCTGCGCCAGTTCGGCCTCCTGCGCCAAAGTCAAAGGCAGCGGCGCGGGGAGCTTCGGGTACTTCCTGCGCTTCTTCGCTGCGATGGATGCAGAGCGCTGCGACTTGGTCGTGCCCGACGACGTCTTGCTGGTCGCTAGCGCGGGCGATAAGGGTGGGGTGGGTCCGGAGCCGGAAGTAGCGCCCATTACCGATTTGGATCGACCGCGCTTGAAGAGCGATAGGGAGCGGAGACGCATCCCTTTGCTTTTCGCGGGACTAGCGGGGATGGGTGGGATGGGGATATCCTTGAAGCCGTCGGCGCCGTTGGAGGACGGGATGGCCGCTGTCGCAGGCGTGGGCGGCACCGGAATCCGGAGGAAGGCGGCGGAGTAGCCGGCGCAGATAAGGAAGTTGAATCCTTCGGCCGTCGAGGGCGTCTTGCCTGGGGTGAGGCTGATCTGCGCGCTGGTGGGCGTCAGGCTGAGGAAGGACCCGGAGGGCACACGTTGGGAGGTGATGGAGGACCTGCGCCCGCGGCTGGTAGAGGGACGCCGGTGGGTGGACGGGCGACGGATGGGAGGAGAGCAAGGGGCAGGCGAGCCTGGTTGGACGGCGGCGGCCCAGGCGCTGATGGCGGAGGTCGTGTTGGAACGACGACGGCGCAGGAGAGGTTGCATGGGTGTAGGCTGCGGACAGACGTTGTGGTATGTCGGCGAAGGGGCTTTTCCTTGCGGGGGAGAGGGCAGCGGTTGGTTGGGCGCAGGCCGTTTCTTCTGAGCTGGCGGCTGGGAGAGAAACTGGTATGTTGGTGCGGCGACTTGGATAAGCATGACGGCAGACTTTGAGTCGTTGACGTTGGTCCTGTTTCAGATGCGAGGTTGATGATCGTGCCCGTCTATCTATGCGACGTTTAGTAAAGCGAAAAGGAGGCATCATAGAGAACACAAGAGACTCACGTATGCAAAGTATACAGCTGCGTCAACAGTTCAATAGCAATCAAGTAGACAAACGTAGAACCCCGTGACAAAAGGTATAATTGAACTACGATCCAGTACACAGAGACAGATTGTAAGAGTGGAGGTTGGTTGATGGAACTTGTGGTAGCGGAGAGGACGAGACGCAGCGGACGTGGACGAGCTCAGCTCAGTATCGTGAAGCGACATGTAACCCATGATCCTTATGTTCAGTCTGCCGAACAAAACCAGACCAAGTCGCAATTGTCGGAGGCCTTACGTCCGGTGTTACACCGACGCATAATGGGTTGGTGGTGGTGGTGCAGGTCGACAATGGCGTGTCGGTGTATTCCCACGCTTCTCTCATTGTTTCATCCCGCCGTCTTTGCCGCAGCCAGCGACGCGAAGTCGCGAACAACTCACAGGAAACGAATTGGCCCCCGATGCTGTATATTGCTGTATGAATCAATAAGTTGCACGTTCTTGCGGTTATATTGACCACACGATGCTGTTCCACTTTAGGTTACTTGCGCTGCGCGAGGCACAACGTGTTGCGCTCGCTGTGCACAGGGTCATCGCCTATAAATCGTAAGATGATAGAAAGTTACTTATTAGGACAGCAGGCGTAATACATGAATGACGGGCATATGTGTTATCTGCTATTCTGGCCTCCCCAGCAACCAACGTACTTCGGAACGCCCTTCATTTACCACGTCGTGGTTCATGACGAATTACTATGCCAGGAATGCACACATCCAATCGCTTTGCATCGTACCCTCCGGGCAGAGTGAGGTCGCTTTCCCGCTCATACTGCCTATCATCCCAATATTCAATGTCACCCCAAGCATCAAGCCCGCAGTAGCTATCGGTGTATTCCGGGTTCCTATAATCCGATGGAGCCGTTTCCTCGTCTGCTCGAGGGGGTGTATGATCCGTTGGCATGATGCTCTTAACCCGCTCTACATCGCATGGTGTCCAGTCAAGCGGTCCGCTCGACGATCGAACACCAGACTGTTGCGCGAGAGTGGCGAATCGTTGCCGCCAGGTGCGGTAGTCGGGAGTTTCACAAAAGCCGAGAGACCGACTGTAGTCCAAGAAGCCGCCGATTTCAGGAAAGCCAGCGCGTACGAGCACCAAGCCTTTGCATGCCTCTTTGGCGGCATGTATGCGTATCATTGCATGCGTTTCGCCCTCATACCAGTACGCCTTTGACTCGGTGTGCTCCGCTCGCCAGGGCAAGTCTCCACGAAGCAGGAAAAGGCCGACGTAAGCAAGAGACTCAA